TCAGGGGTGAGGAGGGGGACAGAAAACAGGCCAATAAGAAAGCGCCTGGGATTGATAAGTGGTGGGGGAAGGGAGCATTCCTTTAGGTTGTTAGCATTTCAGCTGAGACCTGACTGACAGGAGTAGCCTACCCTGGGAGAATCTGCAGGGAAAGCAGCCAGTGCAAAGGCCCTGAGGCAGGAAGAAGCAAGGTGTGTTGGGCCAGTGTGAGTGCAGGGATGAAGAGGGGAGGAGGCAGGCAGGGCGAGGTGGGTCAGAGAGGAATGGTTTTACTCCAAGAGTGACAGGGAGCAGCTGCTGGAGGGTTCTAAGAAGGGGAATGACAAGATCTAAGATTTAAAAAGTCATTCTGGGGGCCGGCCCCGTGGCTTAGCGGTTAAGTGCGCGCACTCTGCTACTGGCGGCCAGGGTTCGGATCCCGGGCGCGCACCGACGCACCGCTTCTCCGGCCATGCTGAGGCCGCATCCCACATACAGCAACTAGGAGGATGTGCAACTATGACATACAACCAGCGACTGGGGCTTTGGGGAAAAAAAAGGAGGAGGATTGGCAATAGATGTTAGCTCAGAGCCGGTCTTCCTCAGCAAAAAGAGGAGGATTAGCATGGATGTTAGCTCAGGGCTGATCTTCCTCATAAAAAAAAGAAAAGTCATTCTGGCTGCTCTGTGGAAAGTGGATTGGAAGCAGGGAGAACAGTTGGAAGCCGCTGCAGTTGTGCGAGTGAGAGCGATGGGGGCGGCAGGAATGGGCAGAAGTGGGTGCTTTTGGAGTACGTTTTGGAGGTTGTGGCATCCGCACTTGTGACTGGATGTAGGGGTGAGGGCACTAGTTACAGCCCTGAGAACCGAGGGAGAGGCAGGGTTCAGGGGAAATGGGTACGTTAAGTCTGAGGCTATTAGTCATGGAATTGGGAGGGCATGGAGTGTGTGGTCTGAATGAGCCTGGAGTTTGGGGCAGATGTACTTTGGGGAGTCATCAGCATCTAGGTGGGGGCCATGGGGCTAGACGAAATTACCCAAGAAGAGTTCAGGTACGGGAAGAGCAGGATCCCAGCTCTAGGGTGCAGCAGCATTTAGAGCGGGGTCTCCAGTCTCAGCACTGTTAGCGTGCTGCGCCCATAACCCTTGTTGTGGGGGCTGTCCTGTGGACTGCACGATGTGTAGCAGCATCTCTGGCCACTGCCCACTGGATGCCAGCAGTACCCCGTTCCTCCCATGGTGACAGTCAAAGATGGCTCCAGACATTGCCAAATGTCCCCTGGAGGGAGGGGACGAACACCACTCGCGGTGAGAATGACTGATTCAGAGTTTGGGGGAAGGAGGCTGGGAAGGAGTGGCGGCGAGGAAGGAGCGGAACCTGCAGTGTTCCAAGGGAAGGGAGCCGTCCACTGCATACAATGTTGCTGAGAAACTGAGTGGGGACACAGAAACGTCCTGGCACTCGGTGGCATGGAGTCGTGAGTGACCCACCAGGCGTAGATTCAGAGGAGAGCGGGGTGCAGACGGCCCAGCGAGGGTTATGGAGGCAAACGGTGGAGGTGTGTGTGTGTGTGTGCGCGCAGGGGGTCACAGGGCTTCCTAAGAGTGGACTGGCCTGTAGGGTGGAGGAGTGACAGCCGAGGAGGGGATAACTGAGGGAGTAGAGTCCTAGGGAACGTGAGAGGGTCTGGGGTCCAGGGCCCACCCGAGGACTTGGCTAGGAGTGGAGTCGGAGCTCAGATGCAGGTGTGAGGGGCATGAGTTCCTGCCTGCGGGCTTCCATTTTCTCCTAAATGGGAGGCAAAGTCACAGCTGGGTGCGGGGAGAACGTGAGGGCACCGATCCTGGAGTGGGAAGTGAGCCGCGAGGGAAGTCTGGAGATTGTGGTCGTGAATTTAAAGTGCGGCCAGTTGATGCAGTGAGTGCTCTCCTCTGGAAAAAGCCCCCGTTTGTCAAAGGCAGGTGGATGATTTAGGTCTGACCAGGGTTGGGGTTTGTCAGGCGAGTTGTGATGGAGGGAGAGAGCATGTAGAGGGCACATTGTAGAGGGCACGGCTCAGGGGTGTGGGGAGGTGGGGTCATATGGGGTGGGCTGGGGACAAGGGTCCCAGGGACTTGAACAGCTGGGGCTTCAAGGGAAAGCCTGGGTGTGACGCCCGGCTGGGGATCACCCCAGTGGGCCCTCAGGGGAGGGAGGGCAGCCCCAGGAGCTGCTGCAGCCCTGGTTCAGGGGGACCTGAGGCCTGTCTCACTCTCCCAGCCAGGGATGGGACGACTGTCTCCCCTTTCTTTGAAAAAGGTGGTACTAGGTCACCTTTCCCCCAGGGCCCCTCTTTCCAAGGCCATCACTTGCGGGCCTTCATTCGGGCACTACTTCTGAGAAAGGCTCATGTGTATGTCATCCACTGGTACCTGCTGCCACTGCCCCTCACCATTCAACACTCTTGGCGAGGGGTTGGGGACAGGGAAGGGATGTTGGCTCCGATGGAGAGGGTGATGCAACAAACCCATTGGACACCATCTCAGTACAGTGCTCCCAGTGTGAAAGGGGTGCTGTGTGCAAGGAGTCAGGGAACTTGGAGCACAGGGTACCTCCCTCTGCCTGAGGGGCCAGTGACAGGTGAATGGACCTTGAGAGAGAGAGAGAATGGGGGCCCGCCAAGCGCAGAAGGAAGGGTCAGAGGGTGTTTCTGGCAGAGCCAACAGCCCCTGGAAAGGCCTGGTGGAGATGTGGGCACTCAGGGCATGTCCAGGGACCAATACTAGCCTAGTGGGGCCTGTAGCTTCCCCTTCAGGGAGGGCCCAGGTCAGAATCCTTCAGTGGAGACTTGCAGGGTGGGGCGGGTGGGGCAGGGGAGGGAGTATGAGCAACCCTGGCCTCAGTTCCTGCAGAGTCCTAGGGGCCTGGACTCCCTTTTAAGTTTCCCATTTAAGGAAACCAGACCAGGAGACAAAAGGCTGATGCTGGTTGCAGTGTCTGGGGAGATGCCCACTGGCCCCCAGCCTGAGTACGGTTGGAGAGGGTGAAAAAGTGGTCCTTCCCAATGCCCATTTGGGCTCCCTCAGACTCTGAGGCCCCGGGGACAGGGAGTCATGGGGATGGGCAGGAACTTGCTTAAGTGGCTGCTTCCCAGGCTCCAATGGCCACCCCTCTGTTCTTCCTTGGGGAAGGTGTTACTGAGACCTCTCCATCCCTGGTAACTGTGGGTCCAGGCCCTGCCCAGCCCAGCCCAGCCCAGCCCAGTGAGTGGGAAGGATGCATCCATAAAACTTGCCTCTGGAGGGGGCCAAGGGAGGCTGGCTGCCCTCTCTGAACCTAGCCTAGACAGCACCCAACCCATCAGGCTGTGGGCACTGGCACCTAATAGAGGAGCTGGGTAGGCTGGCAGGAGGCAGGGACAGCCTGGGATCAAGGAGGACCTCCCCCCCCAACCCACGGCGAGGAGGCGGGTCTAGGGTACCACCCATCTGAGCCTGGGTAGGGGTGAGACATTGTCTGTGGGCACAGAGAGGTCACACTCCCTACTCCCATAAAGATGGAGAGGGCAGGAATGAAGGTCCAGGGGTCACGCTGGCTCAGGGCTGGTCCTTTGGAGGAGCCCTACTTTCACAGGTGGATTGATGCCTATTTATACAGAGGATGCCATGCAGAGCTGTGTGCTAGAAACATAAGGCTGGGGTCATAGCATTAGGGGCTCCAGAAGTGGTGAAAACACGTGCCCTTGAGGCTGCCTGGACTGGCACTGGTGGCAATGGCCACAGGGAGAGTGGGTAGGTGAGGGTGCCTGAGGGAGAGCCTTCCTCCGCAGCTCTTTGAGGTAGATGGGGGTGGGGCGGCGGGGGGGGGGGCTTAATCGGAAATTGCTCCTTTCCCCAATTCCTCTCTCCACGGCCACTCCACGAGGGGTGTGCAGTGTGTATGTGGGGGAGTCGGGACTGGAGCAGGGCGGGGGTCACTAGACAGACACAGGGAAGGTCCTCCCTTCATAGCTGCCGCAGACACCTACTTCTTCTCTGAGCTGTATCAAAAAGACCTCACTCTTGGCCCCCACAATTCTTGCTCTGCGCCAAGGACATTCTCTTCCTGTTGGTCAAGAGGTTGGAGTTTGCCAAGCCTCACCACCCACTCCCCACACCCCGGACCCCGCCAACAAACCCTTGCCTGAGGCTCAGTTGTTGCTGAGATTTGAATCCAAGCCAATTTTGCTCTTTGCCTTTAGTGGAGGAAACTAAGGCAGCTGCAGGAGCACAGGAAAGAGGAAGTCATAAATCTCTGAGCACTCGCTTGCCCCACATGGCTCGGGAGCCTTTTTAGCGCTCCCAGCACGCGGGTCTCCCGGCTGGTCACGGCCGATCTGGGCGGCGGCAGGGGGCGCTCGCAACCTGGCCACGCGCGCCTCCTCCGGCTCCGCAGACCCGACGGAGTCCAGTCGGGGCGGGAAAGCATTTGGGGAAGGGGTTTCAGGCGGTCTCCCCGCTCCCCCCACCCCCTCCGCTCGGCTGCTTCCTTCCCGGGCGCCGGGGGGGGGGGTATGTGGTTTATTATGCTCCAGCGCACCAGCACACCCACCCACCCTGTCCTTGGGGCTCTTGGGAGGTGGGAAGAGAGATCAGCTCGCGCCCACCGTCCTAGACCTGGGTGCTCGGACCCAGCCCCGCAGTCCGTAGGAAAGAGGTCCCGCCTCAGTGCCCGCTGACGCGCCAGCGCCGCGTCCCAGCTCCCCGCGCGCACCGACCCTTCCACTTCTGCAAGCATCCTTCCCCGAGTCCCAAAGACCCCGGACGCCGGGCCCCTCTGACCTCCCGCGGTGCGGAGGCTGCAAGGAAAAGGGGTTGGGGCGCCAGGGCGGAGACCCGGGGCGCGGGGAGGTTGCTGCCCACTCCTCCTCGGGCGAGGAGCACCTTCCAGCCACCCTCGATCTGACCGCCCGCCCCGCCTCCCTCCACTCCTCCTGCTCCCGCCTCCAGTCTCCTCCCTCCTCCAGCCGCGCTCGCTCTCCTCTCTACTCCCCTGCCGCGGCGGGCTGCCTGCAGGCGCGGCTCCCGGCTCGAGCGAGCGAGCGGAGCGGGCGCCTCGGCCTCCGCGCCTCCTCCGAGAACAGGCGGCGCGCCCCCCGCCGGGCCCTGCGTCCCAGCGTACGTCCAGCAGCCTCGTGGCGGGAGGGCGCAACTTTACCCCGGTCCTGGGCGGGGCGGGGACGGCAGCGGGACAACTTGGAAAACTTCTCTGGGGCGGACGGCAGGGACACCGGGCGCCGGTGGAAGAGAATGTAGGAGGGCAGTGGCTGGCCCAGGGCGTCCCCGACCTCCTAAGCCCCTTTCGGCCTGGCCATGGGGCTCCAGCGCCTTCAGCGCCGCCAGGGGGGCGACCCCCTCGTCTAGCCGAGCTGGGTGGGACAGCTCTGTCGCCGGCTGTGCACGCGCTGGGCGAGCAGCGCCCCTTCTGGCCGCGTCCGGCCCCGCCATGGACCACCAGGAGCCCTACTCCGTGCAGGCCACTGCAGCCATCGCGGCGGTCATCACCTTCCTCATCCTCTTCACCATCTTTGGCAACTCGCTGGTCATCCTGGCTGTGTTGACGAGCCGCTCTCTGCGCGCCCCGCAGAACCTGTTCCTGGTGTCGCTGGCCGCCGCCGACATCCTAGTGGCCACGCTCATTATCCCTTTCTCGTTGGCCAATGAGCTGCTGGGCTACTGGTACTTCCGGCGCACGTGGTGCGAGGTGTACCTGGCGCTCGACGTGCTCTTCTGTACCTCTTCCATCGTGCACCTGTGCGCCATCAGCCTGGACCGCTACTGGGCCGTGAGCCGCGCGCTGGAGTACAACTCGAAGCGCACCCCGCGCCGCATCAAGTGCATCATCCTCACCGTGTGGCTCATCGCAGCTATCATCTCGCTGCCGCCCCTTATCTACAAGGGCGACCAGGGCCCCCAGCCCCGGGGGCGCCCGCAGTGCAAGCTCAACCAAGAGGCCTGGTATATCCTGGCCTCCAGCATTGGATCCTTCTTCGCACCCTGCCTCATCATGATCCTTGTCTACCTGCGCATCTACTTGATTGCTAAACGCAGCCACCTCAGAGGTCCCAGGGCCAAGCGGGGCCCTGGGGAGGGTGAGTTTAAGCAGCCTCGCCCAGTCCCCCAGGGAGCTTCAGCCTCAGCCAAGCTGCCAACCCTGGCATCTCATCTGGCTGCTGCCGGAGAGGCCAACGGACAGTCCACGCCCACCGGGGAGGAGGAGGAGGAGGGGGAGACCCCTGGGACCTCTGCCTTGCCACCCAGCTGGCCTGCCCTTCCTAGCTCAGGCCAGGATCAGAAGGAAGGTGTTTATGGGGCATCTCCGGAGGAGGAGGACGAGGACGAGGAGGAGGAGGAGGAGGAAGAGTGCGAGCCTCAGGCTTTGCCAGCATCTCCCCCTTCAGCTCGCAAGCCACCCCTGCAGCAGCCACAGGGCTCCCGGGTGCTGGCGACCCTACGTGGCCAGGTGCTCCTAGGCAGGGGTTTGGGCACTGCAGGTGGGCAGTGGTGGCGTCGGCGGGCACAGCTGACTCGAGAGAAGCGGTTCACCTTTGTGCTGGCTGTGGTCATTGGCGTCTTCGTGCTCTGCTGGTTCCCTTTCTTCTTCACATACAGCCTGGGTGCCATCTGCCCACAGCACTGCAAGGTGCCCCACGGCCTCTTCCAGTTCTTTTTCTGGATCGGCTACTGCAACAGCTCGCTGAACCCCGTCATTTACACCATCTTCAACCAGGACTTTCGCCGTGCCTTCCGACGGATCCTTTGCCGCCAGTGGACCCAGACGGCATGGTGAGCCGCCTGCCCATGTGTTGGTGCCAAGTGGCACCAAGGCCACGCTGCTTCTTGCTCTGTTTTATGTGGCCACCTTCCTGTGGTTTTCCGGTCCCTGCCTAGGTCCTGCAGGCCTCATCTTGGGAGCCCACTGGGAGGGGCAGGGGCAGGGGTGCTGTTCACAGCGGTCCATTTGAAGCCTCCCCTTGCTGGCTCGGCTGTGGGGCAGTGTCTTCTCCACCCCCTGCCTGAGCACAGGCAGATGCATGAGGCTTGGACCTTCCTGAATGTAGCCGAGGCCAAGCTGGGGTAGAGCACCTCCCTCCCAGAGCCCCAGACCCAGGCAAGCCACTGGGTCGGCTTCCCTTCCTCGAAGACCCTATGTTCCCTGGCAGGTCACTTGCTTGTGGTGTTTTTGTTTCTTTCTCATCCCCATAAAGAGCAGGAAGCCAGCCTTCCACTTTTCCCAGGAGGGCCTGCTACTGAGGAGGAGGCAGAAATGATGACTGTGCATCCACACTGGGCACCCATGGTCCCCAGTCCCCATCAGGCGCTGGGTGGGGGTTTATGGGCTAGAACTGTCTCCGGGCCCTTCTTTCCCCTTCCCCCTGCTTTTGGATCTGTACCTCCGTTAAAGGCCAGAACTGTGGATCGTTTTCCTCCCCCCTCCCCACTCTGGGAAGCGGGTGGGCACGTGGATGCATCAGTGGGGTGGTCTGGAGGCCTGGCCTCTGCCTCGACAGGAGATCCCTGATCGCTGGCAGTCACCCCTGCAAAAACCGGGGCGACAATGCCTTGCCGCCTACTTGCCACAGGGAGATGAAAGGCTTTGCAGAAAGCTTTGAGCTCCATGGGGGAACGCACTAGAGAACCAGAAAATGTGATTATTAGTTGATATAAAAATCCCCTTTCTCTGTGTTTACCACCAACTGTCTTCCTGTAGACTTTTGTTCTGTGCCTGGGGTGTGTGAATTCCTACCCCAAACTGGAAGTGGGGAGTGGCAGACAGAGCCACTGTTTCAGCTAAAGGATTTCTTTGAGAATGTGTTCTTGTGCCTGTAAAGGTTGGAGTTATTATGCTGCATGACGACTTCTCGACATTTCACCTGCAACACCAAGAGGGTGTTCAATGGCTTGGGCCCCCCAATGGGGGATGTCTTTTGTCATCAAGCAGGCAAATTGTTTCCCCAAGATAGCTAAAAATACCTACACCATGAGAACAGTCTGAGATGAGAGCGTGTGGCAGGTGACAGAGCCCCAGGCGGGGTGCTGGGGTTGGAGCAGGTGAGCAAGGGCCCCGTGGGCTCCTGGGGGAGCCTCCCACTGGAGCCCCTGGGCAGGTCTCCAAGTCCCAAATGGGTCCTTGTGATGCATAACTGATCCCACCCTGGTGGGTGCCGGCTGGCCATCTCTGACCCAGCCATGTTTCTCCACCCCACTGATGGGGCTCCAGGGGCCTCTCCCTCCTGGTACTCTCCCCCACCCCGGATCCTGGCACCCAGAACAATTGGGAGCATATGAAGGATGTCCCAGTCTTCCCCACGGGAGTGCCTGGCTGCGACATTAAGCCAGCGGGCATCTTAGCTTGGGAGTAGGCTGAGCGGCACAGGCACTGTTGGTGCTCTGATGGGCCTGGCCAGATTTGGTGGGGTGCTAAGGGAGTTTTCTGGGGTGGAGACAACGGAGGGAACCCAAGAGAGTCCCTCCTGAGGAAGGGGGTTGTCTGGCTCCTTCCTCCATCTCAGTGTGAGGCCAGGGCATTGCCCTGGGGCGGGGCTGGGGAGGCTGGGCCCAGGGGAGGGGCTGACTTATGACATCTGCTGACTGGTCTCCTGTGTGCCCCATGGGACCCCTGCTATTGTTGCCTGTGGCCCCCTTGTCGTGATACGCAGGTGTTTTTTAAAAGTCTGAGCTATTTTATCAATAAAGGATATTTTGTAATAAGCAAGCTGTGTCCTCCTTGCCCCAGGGGCTGCCCAGAGTAGTTACTGTGCTACTTGCATAGCAGACTTCGCGTGGGCTCTCTCCCAGGCCGGTTGCCCTCTCCTTCTCCAGGTGTGGCTGGCTGGTACCCACCCACCTGTCCACTCAGCATCCCTTATTCATCATTACAAGTCAGTGGGGGTGAGAGTGGCCAGAGACTGGCTGCCTGGGAAGGGAGGTCTTCCTAGAGGAGGTGGCCTTTGGGCTGGGTCTTGGGGGAAGAGCAGGAGTACACCGAGAGGGGACACAGGAAGGTGTCTCGGGCAGGGCACATACAAGGGATGCCGTATTTGGTGGATTTGTAACAGTTTGGAGCCTTGCCGGGTGGTCAGGTGCAGCAGCTGGGGCCAGCGGAGGTGGTCGGCACTGCCCAGACGGGGTGGGGGCAACATGGGGAGGGAGGGAAGGATGTCACTGCGGAATGTGTTAAGCTGCTGCGTCTGGTGAGCGGCTCTGGAGTGGAACTGCTTTGCTTCAGGCTCCCCTGCACTAAGACGCAGTCACCGGCGTCAGAGCTGGGAGGCCTGCGCACGTCACTCCGTCAGTCTCTTCCTTTCCTAGTGAAGCGTCTGAGGCCCCAAAGCCAGCCTGTGAGTTGGATTAGGAGCTGAGTCCACCAGGCTTCCTGTCCCACCTCTGGGGCCCGAAATGGGTTGGCCTTTTCCGAGGGCAGGGGAGGCCAGACAGCAGGCTAGGTGCAGGGGCAGCAGCAGGAGGCTGGGGACAAGGCAGACCCCAGGGAGGGGTGAGGTCTGGGAGGGGAGGGCAGAGGGAGGAGCAGTGAGGCCCCCGGGTCTGGTGGTGGGAGGCCTCACTCTGACCACGGGTTCACATTTTGGAGGGGACACGGCTTCTGCCAGGGCCAACCAGTGGAGACTCCAATGTATCCACACTTAGTGGTGGACTTGGGGCTTCACTGAGGACTTAACAAGAAAGTCACACCGTGTCCTGAGGAGCTCCCAGTGCTGAGGCCCTAGGCCTGATGAGAGTAGATCAGAGTAGTTCATTTGCTTCCATTTACTGAGACAATTGCTCTTCTGGCATTTTGTTTGTTACCTCATTTAATCCTTAAGCCTGCCCTGTAAGATAAGGATCAGCCCATTTTATTCAAGGGAAACTGAGGCTCAGAAAGGTTTAATGACTTGCCTGAGGTCATCCAGGCCCAAGCTCTTTCCACTGGACCACACTGTCCCCTGTTGCCTGAGGGTCTGCAAGGGGCAGGGCCACGGGCCTGGGAGAAGAGCTCCTTGCCCAGTCTCTGGAGATGGTGGCAGAAAAGTATTCCTGCTGGAGCTGGACTGTTGGCAACCCATTTTAAATACATTATCGTGTTTGATCCTCACAACTTTGCTGCGTGTGGCCATTTTACAGAAGAGGAAACTGAGGCTCAAGGTCACCCAGCTGGCACTGGGTGTTCGGGGATTCTGAAACTGCATCTGGCTGGATTCAGTAGGCGGCAGTGCTGTGATCGACTGCTCATGTCTGTCACTGCTATGGAATGCGTAAGTAATGGTGTGTGTGTCACAGGTTTTTCGTTCCTGGCAGCTCAGTCCAATCCTTCAATTTTATTAAAGAAGAGACTGAGGCCCAGAGAGAGATGACTTGCCTTGGACTCCCCATAGCCACATGGTGGCAGAGCTGGGATTAGACCCCAGGTTGCTCAACTCTGTGCCCACCATACCATACCCTCATACTGAAGGGATTGTGTCTAGACTCAGAGAATAACAGGCCCACACTCAGGAGGCATCTGCTGACAGTCTGCTGTGTGCCAAGTCCTGTGCTAGGCTCGTCCCCATTTTGCCACCTTATTCAGTTCTCCGACAAGAAATGAAGCTGGAGTCCTGGGGACTTGGCCAGCACCATTCGGCTAATAGGCGTGCAGCTGAGCTGGATCCCAGGACCCTGGCTCCCACTCTGGCCTTCTCCTCTCACACCCTGTTCCCGCTGTTCTATGGGAGCAGCACCTACCTTTGGTTTCACCCTGAGCCCATCTAAGGGTTGGTGGGTGGATGAGGTGGGCTTAGAGCAGCAGCAACATGGGGTGGGGGTGCAGCCCTCCTCCTCTCAGGAGTGACCCCACACCTGTCTTGGAGGGGGGGCCGGGGCAGGAGGCAAGCAGGGGGGCCTGGAAATTCACCAGGTGGGTGTGCGCTGTCCTGGCTGGCACTTCTACCTTCTGGAGACCCTTTTCCGCAGATGTCCCTGACCAAAGGGAGGCACCAATAGAGAAGATGGGTAAAGAAAGGGTGGGAGTGGAGGGCTTAGGAAGACTGCTCCCTGCAACTGCACCCACTCTGTGAGAATCCGGGTCCTTAGATCACAGGGGATACCCTTGAAGGGGAGTTCAGGCCCAGCCCCTGCCTTGGGCCAGCTGCTGAGAAATTCAGGGCGCCGGGAATTCCTCTTAGGGGCATTGTTGCAGGAGGCACTCCCCACCCACCTGCTCAGAAGGTACCTGTGGGCAGAAGCCCTGCTGACCTGCCACCAAGAGTCAGGGTGGAGAGGGCTCATGAGTTCTTTGGGCCCTGGCCCCCTCCCCATCCTCTGCATGATCTCCATCATGTGTGTTTTGGGGGAGGGTTCTGGGTAGGGGATGTGAGACCTTGCCGGCTACCACCTGCTGATGCGGTTGCTGCTGGCTGGGGAGGAGGCATCTGCCCAGCTGGGGTCGATACTGGGCAACTTTTCACTTCCCCGGTGCTGGCCGGGAGGTCTGCTCAGAGGGCCTGGTCGCTGTGGGCAGCAGGGCTGGGGTGGGACTTCTGTGCCAGTGAAAATCACGGGGGAGGTGGTGGGGATGCCAGGGTGGTATCCTGCTTCTGCCATCATCTGTTTAGCTGCCCCTGGACAAGGCTGGGTCCTTCTCGGGGCCTCGGTGTCCTTGCCTGCCCACGAGGGGTTGCCCCTCTGGTCCCCAAGTTTCCCAGCTTGAGGTTCCATCGCTGCCCCACCCCCACCCCAGCTACCAGGAAGGTCCAGACGTGGAGGTTCCTGGAGTTCTTCAGTTGTTCCTAGAGTCGAGCCTGGGCAGGGTCAGGGCTGTTTTCTTCACCTTTGCACCTCAGTACAGAGGCAGCCGGGTCTGGAGTGACCCATCAGTTTGGGACCCTCTGAGACGGGCAAGAGGAATAATGACAGCTCTGAGTCATTAGGGCCAGTGCCTGACATGCCTCATCTGAGGCTGGAGTGATTACTTTCCGCATTTTACAGGTGAGGAAACTGAGGGAGGTGGAGGGACTTGCTTGAGGTCATCCAGAGCTGGGACACGAACCCCCC